TGTTTAAACTTACTATTGGGTATAATCTTACCATGAAATACAAGACCTATTTCAAGTTTTTAAGAGAAACTATTCCAACCAAGCACATTGTTCTTCAGATCAGATGCAGCTGGAGGCCAAAATACAGACCAACTGGACCAGTCGTTTTAACTGACAAGTAGAACGTGTTAAAAACCGAGCAGGGAGACATGTAGTTCCTAAAGTAATAAATTTTATCCAATGTCATCGACGTAGAGTGACAACATAATTTAAATTTGGAATGATGTAAACCTATATATGGATGTCACAGCCACAACTTTATTGTTAGCTTCAACTACATAAGGCACTGAGGATGATCTGATTAGATCGAAAACGTTATGCTACTATATAAATTTTGACGACACTTTTTAAAAATTTTAACTATATGTTTTTATACCAAAATACACTTGTGAAGTGTTTTAACTTCTGTATGTTTTTTTTTATATAAAATATATTGAGACACGGATATGGAAATAGCTACATATTGTACATATATGAAACAATATTTTAAAAAGATGAATTAAAGAAAATACTAATATCTGTTTGTTTAACTAAGCTACTCTGGTGAAATATGTACCGTGTAGGTTACAACAGAATTTTTTTCAAAAATATAGCTTGAAACAATGGACTTCCATCAAATAATCCTCAGATCTATATTCGAAACTCACTATAATCAATTTTTTACACTATTTAAGAAATTGTCTGGTTCAAATATTAACAATTTAAGAACCGTTTTTCAAAAGAGTACTCGAGCTAACTTTTAATATGTCCACTTAATTTAATTAACAAAATATAGCTTCACCAAAGTCGTCAGTAAACCCATTTCATTGATGGTGTTAAATAATCGCTAAAACCATGCAAAACAATATGACCTAATTAAAATTATTAAATAAATACACGCCGTATACATTTAATTTTTTTTTTTAACATAAAACATGACCATGTGAAAATGTTGTTAAGTGAAATAAGCATGCCGAACAAACATGTCAATACATAGCGAGCTCAAACACTATATAAGTACATAGACAACAGTGAATGTTCATACTTACATTTTAAGAAACACACGTTGTTATGGACGTCACTCGTTAGGCAAAAACCAAAGAGAAAGACATTAAAATTAGTGACAAACACATGTAGAACAGGAAACAAAAGTATTTTTGGAAATATTCACAAAATAGGTACATTAGGTGTAGAGGAAAATTGTAATTTTACATTCGTTTACATTCCATTCTTTTTTTTTTAATATTGGGTTTATATTTTATGGCAAATATTTTATAAATATAGTGATCTTCACCTTTTTTCTTTTCAAGTTGATATATTGACCCAACTTTAATATACAATACGGCTATTAATTTACATTACTAAAACAGTGGGCCTAGTTTTGCTAAAACCTACAAAAATCGACAGTGTTATTTGATATCAACTCATTTACTTTGCAATATGGTAATTTGTTTCATCAGTAACCTTTAGTAGAGTGATGAGTGTCATTTTCATTTGTCCAATCATATCATAATCATAGCATCATATTGCAAATAATCATAGCATCAGATTTATAAGTTTCTAACTACCTGAAAAAGTGCAAGAGGGCCCGTTGAATAGTGAAAAAGCAACTGTATGTGACGCAAGGAATTATTGGGTATTACTTTATAGACGAAAACAAACATCCTGCAAATGCTAATATATGAAGGTATATTACTCAAGTTCCCAACCTGCGGCGGAAGAAAATCTAGATTTACAACAATCTGCGGCTAAAGAAACTGTAGATGAATGTTCCGACATCTGTTGGGAAGAAGTACCAGGTGAGATGAAAGATTTTCCGTTTCTAAAAAATCAGTCATTCAATACAGTTCTACCAGAAAACCTTTTCTACCAGAACTGTTACTTCCTTATGAGAATTTAAATAAAAAAAGCATCAAATATCGAACATAGGCTAATGAAAAGGGAAGTGACTCCAGGTAAAAAACAACTCGACAGAAAAAGATGCCAAACAAAGCTGTTCCAAAGAAAAAAACGGACGGATACAACATACGTGTGCGATCATACACATGCGTGTTCTATTCACAAATAGAATATAGCAGCCAAAGTTTTATTAATATTTAGGTTTGTTTTTGTTACATGTTTTGAAATAAATAATGTTTTACTGTAGAGTATAGGCAACGCTTATAAGCGTCACCGGTACACGGGTATAAATGCCGAAACTCAGTTCCACTGCCGCTTATGAGCGTCAGTTTTTTTTTATCTTTTCTTAAATACCTCATTTGAAATAGCAATTACCTATAAAACATCATTATTCACAATATTATTAGCAACAGCAAACCGTTTTTTCTATTTTTTTAATTTGGGACCACGTAAAAGTGTCACAAAATAGCGGCATCCAACCTGTTAAGCGAAACCGCCTGCAGTGGGCAGGATATATTATAGCCTGGGCCCCTGGAGCGAAGATGATAAAAAATATTCTAACAGCGCAACCCATGGGAATGAGAAGACGGGGTAGACCAAACCTGAGGTGGATGGAAGGGGTAACACAAGATGCCGAGAAGATCGGAGTCGGCAACTGGAAAATGCAAGCATGGGACAAAACAGAATGGAGTAGAAAGCTTGAGAAGGTCGAGGCCCTCTAAGGTCTGTAGCACCAAGATGATGATGATGAGTCTCGTTATTAAATGGTCACATATTGCCATCAACAATAATTAAACGTATCACCAATATCAACAACGTACGTAAATACGTATCAAAATTTTTAAAACTAACAAACGACTTAAATGAAGGAGAAGACTGTCTAAAACAGTGGTCGCCAACCTGTCGATCGCGAGCTACCGGTAGCTCGCGGAGGCAATGCTGGTAGCTCTCACAACGATTTTAATTTAAAAAATACAAAGTGCAAAAATCAGAGAAGCTTCCGAAAATTCCACAAAAAATCTAATTGTCATAATATTAAACATAAACAGCGGCAACGTTGCGTTGAGCGATCTGCCCCTGACGCAGTCAAGCTAGAATCGGCTATTTATAGAAATGACCAGCCGGACCAGCGCGCTAGTGTTCCAAGCATTTTCCTATTCTTTCAGAAAAAATATCTCAAAATCCATTAGAACCCTATGACAACAAATATCATGTAGAAATAATTTCTACCCTGAAGAGTAACTTCAAAAATCGTTTTAAGGATTTCAATGAAATGGCTTTAGTAGCGCAGTTTGTTGTTTCACCCTTTATGGAAATTGATATCCAGCAGTTTGCAGCTTGTGTTATGCAGATATTTGGCGAAGACATCGCTGCATCGCTGAAATATTCTTAAAATAATGAATTCTTAATCTAACACAGAAATTTAAGGAATTATAAAAACGGAAATCGATAAAAACAAAACACGTTACCGATAAAGGTAGGAACCGCTGCTACAAAATAGCAGTGAGTAATTTTAATGTAAATTCAAAAAGTAAATTAATCAAAATTATACAATAGGGTTCCTGAACCGGTGTAATTAAAATTGATACGTTACTTTTTTTTATTTATTTGGATAGTTTGGTGGAGATTATACGATTTATGAAATAAGTTGTATGGCGAACTCAACGATATATTTAAGGGCTATGACATACGATGCATCCTTGGTAGTAGTACTTGGGTCTGATGACCCAATCATCACTATAATTTAAATTGGGCATTCTCGTCGGACGGTACCACTTTCGTATAGTATTAATGACTATTGGGTCCCGAGATTTAAGTAGCGCCTCCAGGAAGTCTCATCTGTCAGCTACTACAATCTTCATCAGAGAATAACGTTCATAGCTATACTGTAGAAATTTTATTTGCCGTTTTGTTTTTTTACATTACATATATTTTTCATGTTTTAAGTAGATTTACTACTGAAAGTGATACGATTATTCTGGTGTAATTAGGACTGTCCTACAATAATAATTATAAAAATTATTGACTTGAATACATTCCTCATATATTTTAACTCTTGATTTATTTGTCTTACTGTATGCTATTTTTGAGGTTTTTAACTAGTTACTAATAGAGTAATGTAACAAATGTTACAGCTAATCTAACAAAACAAAATCTACACACCAGCCTTAATGTCTAAAATTGAAGATATTCATTCCACACTTAAATAAATCGATCACAAATATGTTTTACTAAGAGAGTGTCACGTTAGATTGGCATTATTCATCATTTGATCTTGAAATAAATAATGGCTACAGAAAATAAGGGAAAAAATTAAAAGGTAATGGCCAAAAATGGCTCAACTGCAATAAAATTATGATTTTCATCTTTAGGCGTTTCTTAGTAAAGAAAGAAGAACATTTGACAACCTTAAATAAAGAAACCAATTTTAAAAAATACAAAATTTAAACCAATTAATGACGACTATATTAATGATAGTATATAAAATATAATGGTTTTACTAGAGAATTTTTAGGATTAGAGAAAAAGTACTATACCTTTCAAAAATTTCAATGATTATTCAATCAGATGGAAGTAAATTATGAGTATAAAAACGTACAGCTCTGTGATTAAATTGATTAAGTCATAGTTAATCTTAGATAAGATTTGGGGATGTTGAAATAACTTATAGAACAAATTATTTCAAGTATAGAATGCAATAAGCTACCATCACACACTTTAAAAAGCAGTGTATTAAGTCACTGATGATGTTATTACATAGTTCGTTATTGATAAGAGGAGTATACTAAAAGTTTTGAACAAATAAGTAATAGAAGGAAAACATTTTTTGAGAAAATTCAACTTATTGTTTTTCAAAGTATTCGCCATGTTTATCAAATCTTTAAGCATGAACGTTAAGTGTACCATTCATATAGTGTGATTTCAATTTTTTAAGGGTGGAATGAAACGTAGGTGCCGTTTCTAATTATTGATGTTTACAAATACTATCTAAGATAAAATTGTCGAAATTTTTTAAAACAACTAGAAATCTATAATAGCAAAGATAAAAAACTGTGAAATAAAATAAAATTAACAGTACGTACCTCTTCATTTGATGATTTATCCCTTGTAGACGGAGTACCTGGACTACCACTAGCTTGGCTAAGTAAATCCGGTAGGACACTTTGTCTAGGGTGATCGTTGCTTCTGCCATTCTACAACATTTCAAAAGTGATTAACTATGTGTTTAAGGTGTCATTAAGTTGTAAGTCAAGCACGAAAATGGATAGTCGTTCGGAAATCTACTAAGGAACCCTATTCTAGTTAATAATGGCTGTAAAGATTTGTAAATAATAAACGACGCATTTAAAAATATTAATGTGTGGACATAAGAGAAAAACATGTAAAATAGTCAGTTTATGCAAACAACACAAATAAAAGTATGATTTAACAACATTAGTAGATAAGGTACGTATTTCCTGGCACATCCCTTAAAATCGCAACCCCCAAACATAAGATGACGTACGAGGACTCGTTGGAAAGGGGATGAAAAATGGGGTTGAACGCAGTATGTGCCGTGCGCATCGGAACATACCAAAAGGGCATTACGTCATATCTTAGTTTCTATTGGTCCGCTATTGGTCCGATCGTGACGTTCGAGGCCTCGTTGGAAAGGGGAGGAGACGGAAAATACGCTAACACAAAAAAAAAACAAAGATGGCGGCATTGTCAAATGGGTGCTATAACGCATCTTCTTTGCTATTATAGAGGCACACATAGCCATCTGTCTATGTGTCACAGATGGCTCTGCATGTCTCTGCGTATTTCTGTCTACGTGTCAACCAGAGCTCCCGTCACGCATCACGTCAAAACGCATTTCACGTCAAATGTCGCGTTCTGCGTCGACTGTCACATAACTGTCACGTTCTGTGTCGAATGCCACGTTCTGTTCGGTCATTATCCAGCCTCAAGAGTCCACTGCTGAACATAGGCCTCTTCCTCGTGTTTCCAAGCCCGTCTATCTTGCGCTGCTCTTATCCAGTTTTTATTGAGTCTTCTCAAATCGTCAGTCCATCTTGTAGCTGGTCGACCGACGCTTCTCTTGTCTTCCCTTGGCCTCCATTCCAATAACCTCTTTGTCCATCGCCCATCTGTCATTCTGGCTATGTGTCCTAATTTCCTATCCTGTTCTGTTCGGTACTATACGGAAAAGAAGAAGAATTGGCAGTTAATATTGAACGTTGGCAGAAGCCAAACAGTTGCCTTCTGTGTCACCACCGCTTTGACACCCTATACGTCAAAATACGGCCAATAGCAACGAAGATACCTTATAGCGCCCATTTGACAATGCCACCATCTGTGTTTTTTTTGTGTTAACGTATTTTCCATCTACCCCGTTCTAACGAGCCCTCGCACGTCACGATCAGACCAATAAAAACGAAGATATGACGTATTGCCCTTTTGGCATGCTCTGATGAGCACGGCACATACTGCGTCCAACCTCATTTTTCATCCCCTTTCCAACGAGCCCTCGTACGTCATCCTACATTAAGCCGTTTGACAGTTACGACCGGGGGTTGCGATTTTAAGGGATGCGATTTAAGGGATTGCCAGGAAACACGTACCTTATCTACTAACATTCCAAATAAATAATAAGGAAGTTTTTTATAAGTTCGGAGCATTTAGCTATATTTCTTCGTCGTTTGGAGGTCTATAAAAAGTAGTTTCATGTGAATTCTACCCACCCAAACCAACGTTGGACACTCAAAGTTGGACTTTTGTCCATTAAAGTTAAGCCAGTATTGCAATGAATTGTTATTGATGAAAACTTATCTGGGTCCTACATTGCAATATACCTTTTACCATTTTACGGTATAAACTTTTCTAAAAACTGATCCTTTAACAAACTTGACAAAGAAAGTTTAGAATTTACCCACATTAACCTAGCTTGCTTTTCCTTTGCTAATAACAGTGGCTAAATACAAGTACACTTAAAATGTTACCTGTAAATCAACCTTATAAAACTTTAATCCAGATTGATGTATTGACTTACGACAGCAAAGTCACTTAACAAGACTCACTTAACAAAGATTCACTTAACAAACATGTAGTTTCATGATTTCATTCAGCTCCAACTTGCATTAGAATTATTTTTTCGGCCTTATTTACAAACTTTTACTAATATTTTCCTATTCATATCAGAAACTAGTTTTGGACGACACGAGCTTTTACCTTTTTTTAGGACTATTACATTATGTCTGTCAGCTTCATGGACCCCTTGTGGATAGCTTAGTAGGTTAAAATGTATCTCCGGCTTTGAATTGGTATTACAGAATGAATCGAGCTGATGGTTGAAATATTACCTTGGAATATTGGGTGAAGCTCAGTCATTGAACCCTACAAAAAGGGCTTCATGTGCCAGAAATCCATGACAATATAATATTGTCTATCTATATGGAAAATAGTTTTATCGGCAAAAATTGATTTTTCTTTTATTAGACCATTGAAGGTAAGAAGAAGAAGTGATATATTTGTGTGATTTAATGAAAATGATTTAATAAGTATAATACATGTTTATCTATTATATTTTAAAGTACAACAATAACAAATTTCCTACTTCCGGACGACCATCAATTAAAATAAAAACCCTTAAATATCTTATCTAAACAGATTTTAAGCAATTTAACAAACACATATTTGCGATTTTATTGGTTAACACAGGATACAATTCATAAAAATAGCATTTGACAAAAATATTGTAATGACATCTTATAATTTTACATTTTAATAATAATTATGACCCAATGGTCTAGATAGGATATACTCTGATCACCACTTTACCTATTACTTTTTGTCTATCTCTATATCCTAAATTTTCGTTAATAATCTTCTGGTCTCTTTCATCATAAATAAAAAATTGCACATCATTGTCTGCATTATCTATTACAAATTAATATCATAAAAACTGCTTGGCATTCAAGACACTTCTGATATTGATTTTAAAATATTACTTTTAAGCCCAATCTACAAATATATAAGTACATCAATTTCACGCTTTACAAATTATCTTGAGCATTTCTAAACTAATTACATAAAACGTATTCAAAAATCAAGGGTAGAGGAGGTTCTGTCAGAGTTTCAGATATATCTGCCAGCACTAGAAATTACAAGATTCTTTCCAAAAATCCGACAAATGGATCAGGCCTACTTAAAACACCTGATGGCATATTTACCGAATCTAAAAAAGGAAATATTATTCCCAGTATTAAAAATTATTGATGAGCAAATTCAGGCTAGAAACTTAGGACAACCTGAACGCCCTAAAAAAGAAGATTGCTGGCAGTGGTGTCTTCTTCTTAGGGTACCTTCTCCATTACTGAAGGTTAGCGATAACTACAGTAAATTGCTCTCTATCTTGAGCTGTTCTTAGTATCGAATGTGTGTCCATACCTGTCCAGTCTCTTACATTCTTCAACCAGGAAAGGGTTCCATACATGCATACAAGGGTACATACACCAAATAGGACGAAAGATAACGCCCTACCTAAATCCTGCAAACTTATAAGTCTTAGATCATTTCTGTTGAAGGCAATATAAAGAATTCTTGATAGACATATTAAGGAGGAGCCATTGAGACATCATCGTCTCAATGACAACAAGCAGCATGCATATCAAGAACGAAAATCAACAAAAATAACACTGAACAAGGTAGTTCAGAAAATCAGACACTACCATTAATAATGGAGAGATTGCTTTAACCGCCTTTCTAGATATACAAGGCGTATTTAATAATACACTACCAAATTCTCTTTCTGATGCAGCAGCACCAAAAAAAAAATATCCACTACCGTATGCAACTGGATCAAAGAAGTGCTGTAAAATAATCTGATTCTAAGAAGGAGAGGAGTTTCTGGCCAAAACAGCTTAGTGTCCACAGGGCAGAGTGATTTGTCTTCTACTGTGTTCACTTCTGTTGGATGACTTAATCTGGCTCCTTGGTGTACATGAGGTAGAAGTGTAAGCCTATGCGGATGATCCAGTAATTGTGGTATAGAGATACATACAGAAATGTTCTATCCAGTACACTCCAAAGAACGTTAAAGATCTTTACTAAGTGGTACGAGATGGAAAAACTCAATCCTAGCAAACAGTAGTAGCCAGTTTCACAAAGAGACGGAACCTAGAAAATATCTGGATGCCCGCTCTATATAGATACATTGTCATGAGTCGAATGAGATGAAATATCTAGGAAATACTAGATAAGCGGCTTCTATGGAACCCATCTGGAAAGAATATCCAACAAAGCGAAGGTTGTCCTTTGGGCATTCGAACGATATGTTGAAAATCATGAGGTGTGGAACCCAAACAGATGTACTGGCTATATATGACTGTAGTTACACCCATGATTGCGTATGGAGCACTAGTATGGTGGTCTAAATGCCAACAACAGAAAGAAGCTGAATAAGCTTCAACGACAAGCATGACTATCTAACCTCACTAAGCGAAAGATCTATATTTGTTTAATCTTTTGTTTCCAGTTGAGATTTTTTTTTTGAACCTATTCTCTATCCTTTCTTTGTTGGATATAGGTCTCCCCCAGTTCTCTCCATCTTTCCCTATCTTGAGCTGTTCTCTGCCATGTGGGACCTCCTTGTTTCCTAATGTCATCTTTCCACCTCATCTCATATATAGATATATATATATATATATATATATATATTATATATATATATATATATATATATATATATATCGCAAAAAGGAGTACGACCGTCTATCCAATATAAATAAGGATCACTCAGATGAGTGGTGGGTTCAATCGGTCAACTAGGTGGAGAAATAAAAGACAAAGTTGATACTACTTCATCTATTTTGAAGACGTTTCGCTATCGAATTCTGATAGCATCATCAGTTCATCTAAAAATTTATTTACATTAGAGTACCACACATTCATGAAGAAGATGTTAAATAGTTACCTTAAAAAAGATATGTAGTTGTCAATGGTATTAAAAAGTCAGTACAAAAACTCAAATAAATGGACATCGAATGGTGATATTGTATAAACAATTAAATAACTAACAACATTAAGAGACTTAGTAAAAATTAGCAAAGCAACAGAACACGTGGTGTAATAAGCATATAATATTTAATATAATATTATATGCTTATATTAAATATTATATGCTTATTACACCACGTGTTCTGTTGCTTTGCTA